GCAACAACAGGAGCGGCTTGCTGTGAAGGTAACTTTCTCCCTTCAGCTCGCTTCTTCGGCCAAGTCCCATAAAACCGAGTACTGAGAGCAGTAGGGAGAGGAGGGATTTGATTTTCTTTTTAATATTATAATTAATTATAATTATTAGCATTTATAATTAATTATAATTGATTATTAATTAAGTATAATTAATTAAGTAAATATAATTAATTAATGATTAATTATCATTATTTATTTAATTATAATTAATATTTATTAATTATAATTAATTATTACTTAGTTATAACTTTAATTAATATATTAATTATAATTAATTAATAAACTACTGATTATAATTATTTAATTAATTATAATTTATCATTATTAATTATAATTAATTATTTATTAGTTATAATTATAATTAATTAATTGTTAATTAATAATAATTGATTATTATTGATTAATTAATTATAATTAATTATAATTGAAAAGAAAATGTTCCCCTCTACTCTATTACCTCGTTGTTCGTGGCGGACTGAAAAATCGCCCCAAGCACCCCTTTGGTGCGCGTGGTGTGATGGGACCGTGGTGCAACACGTACGACGAGGTAGGCGAGTGACCCCTCGATCCATGTGCCAACCACGACAACCCCGCGAAAGTATGAATTCTTCTAAACTCAAAACTCTGCTTCAATGTTCGTGGCGAACCAAAAAATCGGCCCAAGCACGCCTTTGGTGCGCATGGTGGGATGGGACCCCGGTGCGGCACCTACGGCGAGGCGGAGTCGCTCATAAGTACCTCTAAGTGGGGGGAAATCAAAATTGCTTTTCAAAAATGCTTTTTAAAACCTCATGCACGCCTTTGGTGGCGTGGTGGGAGAAAACAAAATACAATCGCCGCGGTGTCTCACCAACACCAACCGTGCACGTCTTTAGTGACGTGACGGGTAGGCGGCCTTTTGGTTTTTTTCCTAAACAGGGGAGACGCTGGGAGGTTGTCGAAATTTTGTCTGAAATACAGACAAGGACTTGGAACAAATTGGACTTGTGGACCTGATTCAATTGATCTAAATAAATATGAACTCAAGTCTAAAAAAGAAGAAGAAGAAGAAGAGCACATAACTCGGACTCTCATTTGAACTTCAACAAGGATTTGAACTCATTCTTGAACTTGCAAATGAACTATAACAAAGATTTGAGTTAGAATATGATTTGAACTTGAACTCTACAAAAACAATAGAAGACTTGAGTTAGACTCAAACTGAACTACACTTGAACTTAAACTTGAACACAAATGAGCTTGGTGCAAGAAGTTTTAGCTTAGACTTGAACTTATACTCTGAACTCAAGCTTGCATATGGAGTAAATGATAGCGAACTGAGCTATAGTTTGAATATTAAATGAATGGCATGTAACTTTGCAAAGTAACAATATTAATCATACAAGCAAGGACATGTGATATATACAATGATGAATTTATGATTGATATCATCATATAAGCAAGCGAATGGAAATAAATCTTCAATACATGCAAGATGATGAGCTTCTAATTTGAGTGCAAGTAGAATGAGTTTCCAATATGACATGCTTCTAATCAACATAGCAAAGTCTTCAATCAACATCAAGATGCTATCGTGTCAGCAAAGGTCTTGGTTAAATACAAAGGGAATATATATGGAACTTATGGTGAAAAGGAAGATCTATAATGACTATAGAACCTACAAACATTATGAAGACTCATGCATCAAAGGCCATTAGGAAGGTTTGGCATGCAATAGACATAACAAGGTGACACATTTAGATGCATTCGGGTGAACATCAACATACAAAAGATTAGTTCATCCATGTAAACAAGTAAAAATCAAATACAAAAATATTGCAAGACTACTTGAATGAGTAAGGCATCATGATGAATAAAGCTCCAAGTATGATTGCTCGCATGAAGTGGCCAATAACAATCTGGAATGAGGTGTGATTTAAATATAGGTAGATCACAAAGAACCTTACCAACAAATTGGTTCTTTGAGATGTATCTAAGAAAGCTATCCGCAAGCAAAATATAGAAAGTTTCAACAAGTGCAAGTCTCCATGGGCCACTGTAGAAGACTCGTAGTGCACCCAGTCTAATGTCCACGAGCAAGATACAAAGTGATTATATCAAGTACCAAGTGTTTATGAGTTATAATGAGAAGTTTAATTTTGTGTGCAACAAGCTATATACGAGCTTCTACAACTTAAAGCAGGAGATTAGTTAGTGCACTATGATCCACCTACAGAAATCAACAAATAGTGCACGACAGTCTACCTGTACAAAGAAGCGAATAATTCAATTCAGAAACTGCTACGATACGCCATCGGATCCGCAACTTCCATGCAAGCTGACAGAAGGCGTCTACGAATACTTTCAAAGTACCCCCGCACGTGCACCATAGTTTGTATACACATACATAGGTACACTAAAAGGGGCAAAAGCAATTATAAAACCCGCAAGAGCCCCGGCGAGCGTGTTATTGGTACACACGTGACGCCTAGGGATGCTGCGCGGGTTATTAAATTTAAACCCGATCCTCCTAGGCAGGTAAAAAGGAGTAGACAGGGTTCAATTATAAAATACCCCCAAACACCTTCATGGGCACCGATGAGCGTGTTATTGGTACACACGCGACGTCTAGGGATGCTATGCGAGTCAATAAGTGAATTCAAGTTCGAACTCGATCCTTCTATACAGGTCAATAGAAGTCGACAGGGTTCGAACCATCAAACAAATATGTGGCCGTGGCGACTAGAATATTTGTTTCAATACATTCATATTAGGCCTTCAAAGCTTAAAATCAAAAGAATTCACTAATAATGGGCACGAAGCCTACGAGAAACTCGATCCTCGGTCAACAGCTCTGCCGAGTTGACAAGGTTCAATCCATAAAGTGAAATGACCCCGTACACCCCGATGATGGCCGCGTTGAACAAAAATCTCAACCGGAGGGGTCCATTCCAAATAATTTCCAATGCCGTTCCAAATATCCAAAAACCCAAAAACTCCACAAAAATCCCAAAATTCCAAAAATATTTAAATTTGAAATTCAACCCATCAATCACTTAAAACAAAATCCATCCACCCTCCGCAACAGTTTGTCGAGGTGGACCAATTTAAAACTACTTCAGCTCATAAAGAGCCAAATGCCTAGTCGAAAATATCACTAGGATCCATTCTCAAATCAATCTCCTGCCAGTAAGGACGTGGTACGTGTCCTCTAACCGGCAGTTTTGCCGCCAAATGGCACTGCAGGTAAACGTTTATGACCCGGGGCCCTCTGAACCAAGTGGTTTTTGCCGCCAAATGGCACCACGAAATACCGGTTATGGCGTCGCTGTTATGTTCCTTATTGGCATCAAATCCTCTACATATGAATCAATAGGATATGATCGATAGGGCACAAAGCCCTCTATAAGCTAAGGTGGATTCAAATTTGTCCCCTTAAGCAAATACACACCCCAGGTCTACAAGGTACCCTTGGACGAAGCAACCCATGGCTTCCGACAAGGATCCTTCTGTCAGGTTGGGTCGACTACCTCCTCTGACTAAGTAAACCAGGGACCACGATGGCCCGGGACGACGTATCCACCATGGGATCTTGATCGGGTCCATCATCCATTCCCCCACCATCCTCTTTAAGTGCAAGATGGTGAAATTTCTATTTTAAATATAAAATATCCAAATCTTCCAATACTCCGAATTCTCAAATTCTCCAAATTCCTAAATCCAAATCCAGTTCTCCAAATTCCAAACCTATTGTTGCTACTATATGCCAGATAACACATATTCTTTACGTATCTGATTGACGACTAACCTTAATCGAAAGTTCTCTCACGTGATCGGGAGGGGTAATTATTTATAGGGGCTTGCGCCTATAGGAAACCAGAACTCGGATCATAAAGTCCTCACAAAATGAGGGCGAAATCTCTGGGTAGTGTCTTATCTACAAACCCATCTGCCTTCCAAAATTTACCCCGGAACTTATTCAGTTAAAACTCCATCTCCGAAAGAAAAGCGCGAGCAAGGGCCGGGGCCGAATTTTCGGAGCCCACAGTAAGTTTTGTTCTAGTTTAGTGTTCGTATTTAATTATGGTCCTTCTAGTTCATTTGATGCAACATGTAGTAGGAGCATCTACAGAGAGTTTAGGGCTTGCCCACTATGTAAACAAAGCCGTGCATAATCAGTTTGGTAATATACCGTGTCTAAGGGGTCTTTTATCTCATCTCATTTAAAAAAATGCATATAGATATTCATGTACATATTTGAAATATTCAATATCTCTCTGCACATTGGAATAACGTGCACAAGTACTTAAATTTGAATTTTACCATAATGCTAATAGAACATTGTATAGGGCTTACACACTGTCATGAGTATTGCCCATGAGTTTCACCTATAATTAAATTTTGCTCGTAACGCCAAACACGTCGGAAATGGTATTTGAGGATCTTTGACAATTTACAAGTTAATATCTTTGCTCACGAGGAGAAGATGTCGACGACAACTAGATGATGGGGATGAGAAATTTCTGAGGAAAAGAATACACTATAATTTTTCTGTTTTATCATTATTTTTTCCTTTAGTACCCTTTTCTTTTTTAAGATTTATTTTTCCTCTTTCTCAAATATATTGTTCTACAACTACTACTACAACAACAACAACATCAAGCTTTTATCCAACTACGTGGGATTGGCTACATTAATACTTTTTTCCCTTGTGTCCTGTTTAGAGTCAAATTCTCATTTAAATCTAATAAAAAAAGGTCATTTTTAATGTTTTCTAATGAAGTCTTTTTTGGTCTACCTCTACCTTTCTTAACATAAGCCCAAATCTAATGCATCTTCTTTCCTAACCGGGTTATCAGGAGGCCGTCCTTTAATGCGATCAAACCATCTAAGGCGACTATCTCTAATCTCAAATATATTGTTCAGTCTCGCAAAAAATCGCTTAAGTTCTGTATTGACAAGAGTTTACAAATTTTATTCAGATTTACATATATTCCAGTGGGAGTAGAGAGGCTCAGAGGCTTATCTTTGGAAATACAGCACACGGGGACTTGAGAAAGTATTTATGTGGATTTTTTGACACTACTGTCGGGTACGTTGTCTTAAGAATTGCCCGCATCTATTAGATCGCTAATTGATTTCATTCTCCATTTAAAGTTGTTTCCGTAATATTTGTATTGTGCTTATTCACGCAAACGAATTCTTCTGTCTAATCTCTAGGAACAAACGAGAAGCAAGGAGTTACTTTGAGATATCTCAATCAGTTGGAGTAGATAAGACATCACAAATCTTGTTTATAACAGATGTTTATCAAGAAGCTGTTGCTGCGAAGGCTGCAGGTAAACTTCTGCTTTATGTTTTGTCAGTTTTTTTTTTTTTTTGGATGAAATTTTCTTTTAAACCTTTTGGGTGCAAATAATTAGTGGTATAATAGTTGCTTTTTAAAAATTTATATCCTTATGTTTTTTCCTCATTATTCTTCATAATAGTTATTAGATATTTAAATAAATCGCACCAAGATATCACATGATTATCTAGCAATACTGTCATACCTATCAAATCACATCTATGGAATTTGTATATTATGTAGTCTTTTTTTTTTATTGAACCCAAGTTTTCATCTTCTGAACATTTTTTTTTCTATTATCCTGATATCCACTTATGCCAGCATATATGTCGTTGATTAGAATTATGTCAATTATGAGTAGCATTCATCATTTTGCCCCACATTTGGTAGATTGAATAAGCATCTCTATAAGCAGAACAAAATGACCCTAATTAATACTAATCTTTGATGGAGTCCTACCGCTACATTCCTAAGTTCATGGGTTGGGACTTGGGCATTAGATGAGGGCCTTGCACCCTTTGCTGGTATTAAAGAAAGGCATTATGTTGTATTAAAGAAAGGCTTATGGTATTTATTTTTCTTGCTGGCATACGCATAGAGATGCGTATGTATGTAAATGTGTGAAAAGACGTGCTTGTAATTTAACTTTGGTATGTGCAGGAATACTTTGCATATAAATGGTGCTTTTGGTATGTGTAGTGATGACCCTTGGTATGCATGTGCGCAAATGATTTGTATGCATGCATGTGCAGAGATGCGCACATGTGTGCGTGCGTGATAATGATAAACCTTGGTGAGGAATAATAGAAGTGATTTTAAGAAAGGTAGATGTATTAGATCAGCCTATATTAAGAAAGTTAGACATAGACCTATAAGGCTTTGGTTAGAAAGTATTCGAAATAATTTTTTGTTTATTAAAGTTAATTAAAATTTTGATTCTTAATAGGACATAATGGTCATAAAAGAGTGTTGATCTCACTTAGTGGGGATTATGGCTTGAAGTTGTTATTTTTTGTTTCATCATAAAAGGTTCGTTCTTCTCAACAATAATACAAAATCATAAAATAAGAAGAAAATTATGTTAGAATATTTTGATATAAATTATGTCGAGATGAATTTAAAATTCATTAAATTTTCTTTAATGGAAAATTTACATATAGATACCACTTTATACCATCTTATTTACATATCTAATACCCAAAATCTTAATATTACATACACACCGCCCTATATTATTTTAATATCAAATATACCACTCATATTTCATTCCTACTACTCATATATTTTATTTCTATCATTCATATTTGATATGAAAATGAACTATGTGTGGTTTATATGTACTATTAAAGTTTTAAGTGTTAAATATGTAAATAGAGTAGTATAGGGTGGTATTTATGTAAATCTCCCTTCTTTAAAATGAGTGCTTGCTTTGAAATTTTTGTATATGAGGAATTTATATTGTATTGATTTTCTCATAAATCCAGTAGTTTTCATGCTCATCTTAATACAATTTTTATAAGGACATCCTTATAATTTTATTTTCTGTTTAATTTTTTCAACCAGAAACTAAGAGCCCAGCTCTGTGATAATTTTTTTTTAAACATCCTTTTTTTTCACAAATTATCTTTTTTAATTGCATTGTATGATAAGAACATAAAGATTTTACCGTTAAAAATCGAATTTCTCAGGGCTTGAAGTCATACTCTCGATTCGCCCAGGAAATGCGTCACTACCAGAGAATCATGAATTTAAAACCATCACATCCTTCGCAGAAATATGATTTATTTCCACTGGACATCTTGGTTGAGGAAGAAGGAAAAACTTGTTTCCTGTATACTCGGTAATGTAAGAGCTTTTAGTAACCGCAAATTTATGTTTCTCAACCACAGTATGTTAATAAGAAGGCAACGACAAGGGCTTTAAGGATCGAGTCGGCCGACCTAAATTCAAGTTTGAACAATTTTCATATTATATAATGGATATATTTATATGTCTTCCTGTATGCATATTTAGATTTTTTTTGTTGGTAGTATATATTGCATAGATAAAAGATATAATGTTATATTTATGTGAATGCATATATACCACCAACACATTCTGTGCATTTGGATATGCAGGCACGCGCGCTCACAGAGGAAGAGAGGTAGAAAGGCTTTTTTATTACACTACTAAATTAATATTGAACTGTTCACTCTATAGGAAAAAAAAAATCATCAAGCAATTCTCACTCTATAGGAAAAGAAAAATCATCATGGCAGTATCAAATAAATAAAATAACTACTGCATTAAAAAATTTGTTGGACCGAAATTTTGAATTCTCTAAAACATAGTGCTAGCAGGAATGTTTCTAGCAATTTATTTATTTGTTGTCATGAGACCCCCCTGGAGCCGAAAACTTAGAGAACAAAGAGAAACGAATAAAGCAATGTTTGTGCAAGATTTGTTTGTTCAAATTCACCTAGGATTCATTTTGAAATTCTGTATGATGTAATGTTTAAAAACTAATTCTTCTCTATCCAGCCATAAAACATTAGCTGTAATTCCTACTAACAAATTCAAGAATAAATTTTTTTCACATAACAGTCCAAGAAGGTTATCCAGTAAAGTCCAGGTTATATTAACCTAGACATTGAATCAACAAACTGGAACAATATGGAGTCGGGGAGTTTGCAGTTATAAACTACTCATTAACATATTTGCCTTATAGCCAGGGATCCTAGTAGAAAGAGAGTTTATTGTTGAACAAATCTGAAATGATAAATTAGGCGTCACGTCCTCGATGACTACTTACAACATTTCCGATCATAGGAATCATTTTAAGGAGAAGGCTTCCAAAAAGAAATGTATTTGTTCCTCCACCAATTAGCCAGTCAGCAATTTCCATTTATAACTTGGTATATTAAGGAGCAAAAGTCAGCAAAATATAAGATCAGGTAAAGTTGGGATACCTAGGCCACCATATTCAAGAATTTTGCAAGTGTACTTCCAATTAAAAACAATTTTCTAACATTACTATCCCCATGGAAAAAGAACCCTAGCACCTAATTTATTGAGTTGTTTTAAACAAGCTTTATGTATAATAGAAACTCCAATCCATTAAGAAATGGAATTGCATATTGTGAATCAAATAAGTTGAAGTCTACTTGCAACTGATAAAACTTTCGATTTCCAACCTTCAAGAAGCATAGTAGCCTTTTTGGCAATGGTTGAAGATGAGATATGAGGACCCTTCTAAGAGGAAATCAGAATGCCAAGGTTAAGTAATATTGTTTGTTATGTTGAGAATGTTTAGTACCTCACAAAGCTCAACCTGATTTAAAGTGTTGGGAAGAGAAGCCTTTTCAAAGTCGAGAAAGTTTTTAGCATACAACAGTGTGACAAGTGTAAATCATCCATAGCTAAGCCTTCATAAGATTTAGGTTCCACTGTAGCTTAAAAAATTAGATAAATCATTCATTGCAATAAAAAAAAATGAGAGGAGAGAGTGCAAAACCTTATCTTAGACCATATGAAGAATTAAAAAAATCACTATAAGGCATCATTAATGCAAATGGAGAAGTGAACATTATCAATATATTCTTTGATTCAACTTATAAAAATGTTGGGAAACCCTTTTTGATGGATTCTTAGAATAACAAATTCCCTTGAAACAGTGTCTAAACCTTTAAAAAATCCAGTTTAGCACATAAAAGGTGAGAAACTTCTAAAGATTCAAAATAAAATAAAATTTCTCTAGCCATAACAATATTGCTAGTGGAGATTCTATTTTTTAAGAAAATTAGCTTGGCTAGGGTGAATGATGTGATTCATAATAATGGAGCCTAGATGCAAGGATGTTTACAACAATTTTGTAAAATTGTTTTTTTTTTCTTTGTAAAGATGCAAAATAATTGAACCTGTAATTTCTTTGGGAACTTTTGATTTTTAGAATTTTAGTTTGAAGTCAAACATGTCATTATGAACGATATATCCCCTCAGAAGGTGAAAATATCAGTCTGATGGGTTTAGATAACAAAATTGTAAGTCTCATCTTGATTATTATAGTCAAGTTCATGAAGGAACTATATATAATCCCGAAGTGTCAAAATGATGTTCGATCGAGCATTTAGCTATAATAATTTCGATGTAATATCATTAACTTCATATTCAAATATATGTTGGTAAATGATATATCTCTCTGAGGAAAGAAATATCACTTATTACATATGAATTGAATATGATGATGATGATCGCCTTTGATTTTGATTTTCTCAAAGGAAATATTTTCCTTTCCTAACATCTGTCTAGCCTAAAACTAGAAGTGGTTGTCCAAGCAAACTATCTAAATTGTGTCCATCAGGTTTTATGACTTGGATGTGTCATGTGTTGGATAGTTATTGAAGTTTTCTAGCCGAACTCCACAGATCTCAAGCCATGACCAAAACTTCTCATTCGACCGAACTCTTCCTACCATAGCTCCTGCCCGAAGACTTTTGCCCTTGCTCTAATCGCAAGCTGTCGGTCCAGAGAGAGAGAGAGAGAGAGAGAGAGAGAGAGAGAGAGAGAGTTTTCCCTATACCTAGCTGTGAACCTTCCACCACAACTTTGTCCGATCTCCACTTGTCAGAAATCCAATCCTCATCCCTTGCCGACACCCAAAGCCCAATCTCAAAAAAGATAATGATTAAGTTTTAATTATTAATACTAATAATGTTATTATAAATAATCATTACTATTAGTTTTATTATTAGTATATATATGTATGTGTGTGTTTAAAAAATAAAGAGGAATAGACAAAAAAATGAAAGTTTTTCAAATAAAAGAGATTGAAAAAAAGAGAAAAAAAAAGAGCTCAATTAAAAAAAGTGAAAAAAGTAATATTAAAAAAAAGAAAGGAAAAGATAGGAATTTTTAAATTTTTTGATGTCACCATTCCGCAAGGTATAGTTCTAAACTATGAGAGCCTACTTTCATCATTTTCAACGCACCGAAAGATTGCTCATACATGTTTTTATTAGCGTGGTGGGATGTTACCCCTGTACGGCTCCTAAAATCTTATTTTGGCATTCGCGGCGTACTTGAAAATCACATATACACGCTTTTTTATTACCGTGATGAATTGAGAACTTGGTACGATGCCTACGGAGAGGCGGGGTTACTAATAAGTACCATCGACCAGGGGAAAGACAAGTATATTTTAAAATAGGTACCCTTGAAGACCCCATACACGCTTTTATTAGCATGATGGGAATGAAGAATACGGGCGATGTGTCATAGGACACCTATCAAAGACGCTTTTATTAGCATGGTGGAAAGGCCTAGACTCTTGTAGTTTTCTCCTAAATGGGGGAGGCGCCAATAGGCTACCAAAATTTTTGGTGAATAGGGAACTTGGACTTGGACTTGGAGTTGAATTTGGTCGTGAGCTTGGACTTGATGTGAACTTGATTGAACAGTAGGAGACCTAAATAAATTCATTTAGAACAAAACTTTAAATGATTAATATGAACTTGAACTAGATACAACGGACTTGAACATATATAGAGAACCGGCCCTTAGAACTTTAAAATACATTAAGGAGTTTGAAAATATAAATGTTAATTAGTGGTTCAATATACTCAAATCAATGAGAATTTAATTTGGATAATGAATCAAAGGACTCAAATGAACTCTAAAGAGCTTAAGTTTGAATGAAGCACATGGAACCAAACTTTGGTTGGATGAATGAGCAATCAAAATCTTGATGCTTAATGAATGAATCCTGCTCATTGAATCCTGATGAGTTCGGAAAAGCTTTTGCATCCTTATCACCAACAACAATCTAACTCCAAGAAGATACATCAAAGAGAAAGATCAAATACAAATGAACAATTAAGCAACTCATGAAAGATAGAGCTTTAGTTCACCTGAGTAGCGGGCTGTGAAATCTATCTCAAGTGAGGGTAATGTTGACTAGCAAAGAAAAGAAGGCATAGACAAAATATCAAGCATACCATTGATGCTGGTTAACTTGTGAAGGATATATATGTTGTATACACATTTGGAAAGGAGCACCTAGTGAATATGACTCGCCTACAATCATGAATTAGAGAGTTTGCAATGAGGTGGTTTACTACAATCATGAATTAGAGAGTTTGCAATGAGGTGGTTTATCCATGATATAGGGATGTCTATAATGTAAGGGACCACAAGATAACATACAATGGGTATGCTGATTCTTTAAAAAGGTTCCTGAGGAATATGCTGATTCATTTAAAAGATAAATGCAACAGACTTAATGACATTCTCACAATTATTACCAAACATAGAAATAGATGTATTGAACTCAACAAGAAAAGAAAATTAAAGGGAATGTATATTGTGGTTGCGAGAGATATAGTTGTTTTGCTTGAAGACAGTGAAGTAGAGTCTTTGGGCCATGCGGCCAGGTATTTCTTTAAATAACAAATTTTGTTGTTTTGCTTGAAGACAGTGAAGTAGAGTCTTTGGGAAAGCATGAAGTGTTTGATAAATCGAAGGACATGGATTTGGAAATAGATGATTCAGGTGCTGTGAATAAAGGCACATCTTGCTTCAGTGGTTCTACTAAAATTAAACTTGCCAAAGAGTTGAAATCTTTGGGGCCATTAGATCCAGATCACAAGAAGAAGAAGAGGGATGGAAGGATGAATTTCATAAATAGGGAGGGATCCCCTGCACTATCATAATGTCTTCGTTACTATTTTGGAATTGCAGAGGGGTTAGGAAGAAAGAGGCCGCTCTATATTTGAAAGAGGTTGTTAGAGATCAAGACATTTTCTTTGTTGGACCAATGGAGACCAACATGACAGGTATTGATAGAAAGGATGTTGATGGCCTTACTGGGAAGGATTGGCAGTATTTCCATTTTCCCGTTGTTGGTCTGTCTGGGGGTATTTTGGTGCTTTGGAATAAGAAGGTTGTGACTTTTGTGGTCAAAGAGACTTCTTCCCAAATAATAGTTGGGGGTCTCTTTATCCCTAACTTGGGATTGTGGAAGGTTGTTACAGTGTATGGAAGAAGATGTTGTAAGGAGAGGGAGAGCCTTTGGAGCCAACTTGGAAGTTGTATGGAGAATTATATTCCTTCTATTATTTGTGGGGATTTCAATTGTGTTTTGAACAAAGAGGAGAAGAGAGGTGGTAAGAGGTTCCTTTTTTCTAAAGGTCCCAGAGATATGAAGTGTTTTATGATGAATTTTGATTTCAATTATGTGGGTAACATTGGACCAAGGTTCACTTGGTGCAATAACAAGGAAGGAGCTTCCCAGATTTGGGAAAGGCTAGATAGATGTATTCTGAATTCGGCCACCCTTCAAAAGCTTCCTGTAGCTGTTACTAGACATTTAGCAAGAGTGGCATCGGATCACATTCCTATTGCCTTCAAGATAGATGAAAAGGTGTGTCCCAAATCTAAAACCATCAAATTTGAGGATACTTCAAGATCTTATCCAGCAGCTAAAAGTATTGTGTACCATTCTTGGAAGAAGAATGATTTTGGAGATGAAGTTATGATTCTACAAAGGAAGATTAGTAGAACTTTAAAGGCACTATTTTTTTGGAGTAGAAACAAGTGCAAAGACTTGAATATGTTGAAGGAAGAATTGAAAAAGGAGATTTTGGCTCTCTAAAATAAGGAAGCCGTGGGAATTGATTGGACAAATGATGATCTTCTTTTACTTAGAAGCAAAATCCATGATCTTAATGTGACTTTGAGAAGATTGTCCACTTGGTGGAATCAAAGGGAAAAAGCAAGATGGCATGAAGAAGGAGATATAAACTCAAAACTGTTTCATAGTTTTGCTACGGCAAGAAGGAATAGCAATAGAGTGAATCAAATTAAAGATATGCATAATAAGGTGTAAGTTGAAGATGATAAAATTGAGCAGGTTTTCATTCAGTATTTTGAAGCAAAATGGAAATCTAGAGAATGCGAATTATTGGGCTGGCCAGAGATTCTTGAGCACCAGAAACTGACTCCTAAGGAGGTTGCAGCCCTTAACATTGAATTTTCGGTGAATGAATTACAGCAGCCAATCTTTCAGCAAGGGAGTAATAGATCACCAGGTATGGATGGACTCACTTCCTCTTTTTACAAATGCTATTGGGATATTGTTTGGAAAGATCTTTGGAATGCTATTAAGTGTTTTCTAGTTTCTGGCCGAATGAGAACGGATTGGAAGGATACTCTCATAGTTCTGATTGCTAAGGTGAATAACCCTTTGATTCCATCCAATTACAGGCCTATTAGTCTATGCCAGATGAATAACAAGATTGTGGCTACAATGCTAGTTAATAGATTGAAAACTAGTATTCCCAAAATGATTACTGAAGAACAAATGGCCTTCATCCCGGGAAGATCAATTTCAGAGCATTGTCTTCTGGCTCAGGAGATATTTCACAAGTTCAAAATCTCCAAAAATAAAAAGGGGCTGATGGCTTTGAAGTTGGACATGGAGTAAGCATATGATAGCATGGGGTGGCCAACACTTGGTCAAATTCTGAAATGGTATGGCTTTCCTCCTATGTATTTTAACCTTGTTATGAAATGTGTTGTAGATGTGAGATTTACCATTATTGTTAATGGAAAGAATTCCAAGTGGATCAATACTCATAGTGGATTCCGTCAAGGGTGTCCACTCTCTCCTTACCTTTACATCATGTGCTCTCAATTGATGTCCAACTCTCTAGAGCAAAGGGGTCAAAATCTTGGCATACAACTCTCTCCTAGAGGGCCAAAGATCACACATCTTCTTTATGCAAATGATGTACTAATCTTCTCACATGTATCAATGGCTTTAGCTAAAGCTTTGAAGGGTATTGTTGAAGACTTTTGCAAATGGACGGGGCAAAGGATTAATGTCAATAAATCACAAATTATTTTCGGTCAGGTTGTCAGATACCCTATGAAGAAGAAGATTGCTAAAGTTTTTGGCTTCAAAGTGGTCAAGGAGATGAATTATCATGTGATAAAGATTTCTCTTGACAGGTTGAAGGCGGCTGACTTTCAAGATCTTTTGAGTAATGTCATGGATAGACTCAATGCTTGGGGTAAGAAGTCTCTATATATGGGTGGTAAGATCACTCTCATTACAAGCTCTTTATTGTCTATGCTAAACTTTTTAATTACACATTCTTTGATTCCGAAAAGAGTGTTGTATGCTTTGGAAAAACTGTGTAGAAGTTTCATTTGGCATAAACCTGATGGCAGCCGTAGTATACATTATGTTGCTTGGGATGATTTGTACAAACCGAGAAGCATGGGTGGGCTGGGTTTGCATTCCCCTATAATGTCAGCTCATTGAGATCGAAATTGGCATGGAACTTTCTGCAGAAATCGAATACCTTGTTCCATAGATCAATCAAAGCTAAGTATGGGAAGGATGTTATGAATGGTACACATAAGAAAGCTACTTCTAAGGCTTGGCAGATCTTGCTTGATGGAGGAAGACACCTTAAAAGTATTATCAGATGGAAAGTAGGCAATGGTGATGAGATTAATGTCTTAAATGATGTTTGGATACTAGATAAATGCATTAATCGATGGCCCACATTTGTTGATTGTAATTCTTTGGAGGGGATTTATGTTCAGCAGCTGTTATTGGATGATGGCCATTGGAATCTTACCCTGCTTCAGGAAGTCTTTCATCCATACCTTATTGTTTTGATTAATCAAATTCAGATTGATTTTAATAGGGAGGATCGGGTGGAGCTGCAGAGTTTATGTTCGGGTAAGACAGTCTCTGCCCTCTCTTATGATCATTTGGTGAAGTGTAGATTCAATTTAAATGATGATGGATATTGTAAGTGGCTAAACAAACTCAAACTTAACAAGAAGGTGGAGATGTTCTGGTGGAGACTTGGAAAATCTGCTATTCCTATTAATCTCTTTCTTAGGAACCGCATGATTTCGTCAACTGATACATGTGCTAGAGGCTGCCAAGTAGTGGAAATCTACGAACATATTATGGTCAATGTAAGTATTTGGTTGAAATCATAATGCAGGTGCTTGAGTGGGGTATTCACATTCCTGTGTTCCATTATTTGGACCATTGTTTAAAGGAATTAAGGAGACTAACAGCCCAGAATCTTGGCATTGTGAAAATTTACTGCACCATTATCTACTTCTCTTGGAAAAACAGGAATGACGTTAAGCATGGCAAAGCTGCACTACCTTGTTCTTTGGTAGCAGCAAATGCTCTTTCCTTAGCCATCACCAAATCCATTCCTTATCTTGCTAATTGGGGTACTAACCTCCTTAGTGAGTTTCAAAACACTTGGTGCCCTCCACTGAAAGATTGGATGAAGATTAATGTTGATGCTTCCTTACTTAGTTCTGGCCTTGCTGGAATCGGTGGTGTTTTCATGGATCACAAAGGTAGATTCATCCTTGTATTTGGAAAGAACAAAGTTCATTGGGATATTGCTCAGCTTGAGCTGGAGGCTGCACTCTCGGTGAGGGATTTTGTTAGAAGCTGGATGATTGAATACAAAGGGGTGATCGTGAAGAGTGATAACATCAATGTTATTACTTGCCTTCAAAATTATTTAAAGAAGAATAAGTGGCTTGTGGATAACAGTTTGGCCAAGGATTTCTTTTTCTTAAATGACTTTAATAAAGTTGTTTTTCAACATGCCTATAGAAGTTGTAATAAAGTAGTTAATTTGTGTGCTACTTTGGCATTAGACAGTAGTTTTTTCTTTGATAGCTTTCCCTTTGATAACATTCCTTCCTTGTTGTTAAAATTAGTCAAGGAGGAGTGTCATCCTTTTGACAATTGTAATTAGTTCCTTTGTTATTTAATGCATGATGCACTTCTTCAAAAAAAAAAAAAAAAACGTCCATTTGGAAATGCTTAAATCCCTTATAACATGCAAAGGCTAATTGCACTCTAATGGCTTCCAATCTAGCTACAGGGGCAAAAGTCTCCTCAAAATCTATTTCATCTATTTGGTTATACCCCTTAGCCACTAATCTTGCCTTATTCCTAACCACCACTTCAGAATCATTCACCTTATTCTTAATGACCCACTTGGTTCCAACTACACTTTGTCCATTATGTCTTTCTACAAGCTCCCAAACATCATTTCTAACAAACTGGTTCAACTCCTCCTGCATGGCTAAGATCCAAAACTCACCAGTAAGGGTTTGGTTTATGTCGGTGGGTTCAGTCATTGAGATAAAGGCAGAGTGGTTCACTTCCTTCCTAAGTCCATGTCTAGTCTTAACTCCATCAGAAGGGTCTCCTAAAATTAGATCTTTAGGGTGACTCGAAGAGTATCTCCAATCTCTAGGCAAAGTGTGTTAAGGTTTAATCCTTTCCTCCAGATTTACATTTTCTACTCCTTGGGTAACCTTTCATACTCCTTTAGTGTTCTGGTGCTCTACCCCCTTCTCCAAGTTTTCTAATCCAGTGGCAATCTCTCTATCATCATCATCCTCAATTCTAGGCTTTCTAGGATCAGACTCATCAAACACTACATTTGTAGTCTCTTCCACCACCAAAGTACTCCTATTAACACCCTGAAAGACTTCCCAACACTAGAATATCCTAAAAACACTTCATCAGATTTTGGGTCAAATTTTCCTAAGTGAGACTTCTCATTATTGTGAATAAAGACCTTACAACTAAAGACATGAAGGTGGGAAAGATTGGGTGTCCTACCCTTAAGAATCTCATAGGGTGTCTTATCTAATTTGGCTCTAACATTTACCCTATTCAACACATAACAAGCTGTGTTATCCGCTTCAGCCCAAAAGTATTTTGGAAGTGAATACTCAGCAAGCATGGCTCTAGCGGCTTCCACTAAGGTCCAGTTCTTCCTTTCACCTACACCATTCTGCTGAGGGGTCCTAGGAGCTACACCGTTCTGCTGAGGGGTCCTAGGAGCTGAGAAGTTGTGGCTAATCTTTTGTCCTCACAAAAATTTCCAAATCACTCATTTTCAAACTCTCCCCCATGGTCACTGTGAATGGTCAAGATCTCACAACCTAGCTTTTTCTGAATCCAAGTGAAGAAGACTCTAAACTCATCAAATGACTCATTTTTGTGTGACAGAAATCTAATCCAGGTAAACCTCGAGTAGTCCTCGACAATCACAAAATCATAGACTTTCCCTCCCAAGCTTGCAGTGCTAATGAGTCCAAACAAATCTATGTGAAGGACTTCTAAAGGTCTATAGATGTTAATGTCCTTAATGGAGTGAAAAGTGGAGTGGATTTGCTTTCCTAATTTGCAGGCATCACAAAGGTGGTCTTTTGAAAACTTAAGCTTGGGGACACTTCTAACTAGGTCTTTTTAAGTCACTTTCCTAAGGGTTTTCATACTAGCATGACATAATCTCCTGTGCCACAATCATGAATCATCAATAGCAGTTTTTAAGCAAAATGAAGCAGCACATTCAATATTATTTAAATCAAGCATGTAAACATTGTTGATCCGCTTGCCCTTCAAAATAGTGTTATTATTTAAGCTTATAATGCATGAATTTGTCAAAAAAATTATGATGAAGCTCTTGTCGCAAAGCTGACTGATGCTGAGCAAGTTGTGTTTCAGTCCATCTACAAGAAAAATATTTTCAATTAGAAGATTTTTAGAATTACCAATTATACTTGCTCCTGCCACCTTCCTGGTGGTGTTCTCTCCAAGAGTCACCTTGCCTCCTGTCTTGGTTTCCAGCACTATGAATTGACTGGCATCGCCAGTCATATGTCGAGAGCATCTACTGTCCAGGTACCACATGCTCTCACGAGGCCTTTTGTGAGAGCTTGCCTGCAAAATAATCAAATGTCATATTTAGGAACCCAAACATGTTTGGGTTCCTTGTTATGGAAAGTAGAATGCAATGCATTCTGTGGATCATGTGACTTGGGTCTCCAAACCCAATGTGGGCTATGGTGAACGATGCAAGTGAGTGCTATGTGTCCTAGCATGCCACATGAAAAACATCTAACTCTAGGAAAATGATGCACTAATCTACTCCTATGGTGATGCTTTTTATGCGATGCATAAAATAAAGATTTTTTATTTTCAAATGTTTTTAAATTTTCTAATTTTTTATATTATTTTTCAAACTCATAATGGGATAATTTTAAAGAATCATGAGAATCAGATAACTCAGCATGCTTTTTGTTTAGTGCATCAACCTCATCAAGTAAAGCCATGTGATTTGAATCAATTGTTTAATGGTCTTTAAGAAGATTTTCATGCTCTTTTTGTAAATTAAAAAAATTCCAATTTTAGACTAGCATGAGTTTTCTTAAGTTTTATATATGATGCATGTATTTTTTTAGAAACTTCAAGGAGTTGCTCATAGGTTCGTTCACATACTTCTTCTTGGTCACTTTGACCAAGATTATTGTCCGCCATTAAGCACAAGTTTATTGTCTCTTCCTCAGGTTCAGTTTTAGAGAAATCTGATGCAGAATCCGCCCATAACACCTTTTAGAATTTCTTCTTGCTCTTGTCCTTTTTGAAGTGGTTTCTCCTCACCCTTTTCCTTACTTGGGTGTGCCTTTAGCGTAGGATAATCATCTTTAACGTGCCCAGGCTTCCTGCATTCAAAGCAAATTGTTTCATTATAATTCTTAAAATTTTTACTTCCCTTACCTTTATTACATTTTCTATGATTCTTATTCTTCTTTTTTAGAAAGCTCTTAAATTGCTTCATGATTAAAGCAACATCATCGTTTTTAGACCCGGAAGAGTCAGTGTTCGAATCGTTCACCTTAAGTGCCACCGTTTTCTCCTTCTTCCTTTCACTTGCATCAAGATTTTTTTGATTCACCCATTGCTCATAAGCAATGAGTGAACCAAGTAAGTTATCGATAAAATATGTATTTAAATCTTTAGATTCAGATCTTGCAGTAATTTTTGCATCAAATGAGGAAGGCAAACATCTTAAAATTTTGTTTACTTTTTCATAGTTAGAAAGTTCTCTTTCTAATACATGCATTGAAGTAACAATCTGAGTAAACCTTGTATACATTTCAGAAATTGATTCAGAAGGTTTCATACAAAAAAGTTCGTAATCATGCAACAGAATATTCAAACGGGATTGCTTGACTTCTATAGTACCTTCATAGGTGATATATAATTTATCCCAAATTTTTTTACCAGTAGTGCAAGTGGAAACACGCATGTAAACTTCCAATTTTAAAGAACAGAAAAAATAGTTTAAACATTTTGCATTTAATTGTGCTAAATCCCTATCATCTAGAGTCCATTCAGTAAAAGGAAGTGGAACAGTAACGCCATTCAGTTTTCCAATTGGAGGTGTATAACCATCCTTAACAAGCATCCACATGTAATAATCAATTTATTGTAAAAACATTGATATGCGAGTTTTCCAAAAATCAAAAGGGATATTAGCAAACAAAGGTGGTCGGATAATAGAATACCCTTCCACAGTATTACGATTTTCGTTGTTAGCCATGGATCAAAAATTCAAAAAGTTTTCAAACTTAGTTTTTATGAATCTCGCTCTGATACCAATTGAAAGTTTGTTAGGGATGTTAAGCCCTTAAGAACTAGCCCGAGGCTAACCAAGAGGAGGGGGGTGAATTGGTATTTTAAAATTTTCTTTTAGCAAAACACAACAAATCTTAAAACCAAATCACCACAAAAATCAAAGTACAAAAATAAATAAACACGAAAGCAAAACAAAGAGAGATCACACCGGATTTATAGTGGTTCGGTCAATCCTTGACCTACGTCCACTCCTCGGAGGCACCCTCCGAGTATTGCACTAAGTGTCTCTCCTTTAGCTCCCATAGCTAGGCGAAGAAGCCTTTGCAAAAGACTCCTTTTCATCAAACCCGGTGCGGCAGAGAACCGACTCCTTTACTGAAGTAGACCTCCTAAGAACCTCCCAATGGCGAAGGATGAAGAACGGAGATGACGACTTGGAACCTTGCTTGGAGCAACCTTTGTGAACCCTCTCACAAACTCCCCCTAACAAGTTCCTCTCTCTCTCTCTCTCTCTCTCTCTCTCTCTCTCTCTCTCTCTCTCTCTTTCTCTCCCTCTCCCCAAGGCTCTCTCAGGTTATGACAGCAGCACTCAAGGTCTTGAGCATGAGAAAATTCAGGTCCTTTAAATAGAATATCAAGAATCGACTTTATCGTCCAGGCCGATATAAATATCGTCTTGGCCGATCAGTACAAAATAAGCTCATTCAGCTGGGACGATTCAGGCCAATCAGAAAAAAATTGATTACATCGGCCAGGCCAATACAATATCATCCTGGACGATTAGTTCAAATCCGAGTACAATCGTCCTGAATATCGCCCTGAATAGAGTCTGGCCGATGTCAATTGTCCCGGCTGATTCTACGATCGGCCCGGCCGATGTGATCATATCAATTAGCCTTAATTACTTTTCATAATTTCTTGGTTAATTCAGGCATAATTATGCTGTATCGTCCACGTCGAGATAGAGATCGTCCGGGACGATAATTTAAAATAAAGAACACCTAAATTATTTTTGGCGACTGATTCTTTCTGATTTGAGCCTATCGTCCTAGCCGATACACGTATCGTCCAGGACGATTTGGTTAATAACGGCTGCTTAACCAAGATGTCTAATTAGGGTTTCTATTTTTAGTTGAATCGTCCTAGATGATAGGAAAATCGTCCAGGCCAATGTACTCAAAATAGAAAAATTCAGAAAATCCCTCAAGTGTGTGTGTACAAGGTTACTTAGCATCAGGAACCATTTTTACAATTGACTCAAGAAAGGAAAAAAATACAGACTTAACTCAACCTAAATCTACCCGATCTTGAGCTGGCTTGAGCTGTATTCGATCTTGTGGTCCTGAGAAGTTAGTAGGCAAAGCAGTCATAGGGAAACTTGAATGTTTGCTATCAACAAAAGTCTAATCCAAAATCTCAAATTTGCAACAATCCAAATTTAGATCACTTCTTCCCTACCCAAAGAGGAAAGAGTGGCCTTCCCCTTAAAGGAAGTGCTCTCTTATCTATTTGGGTAGCCTACTACGAAGAATCCAAGGAGCCTGAAGAAAAGGAGCTCGAAGGAGAATAAGATTGAAGAATTGAAGACAAAAGTATCCCATTCAAAACCACTTGTGTCCCTACTAGGTTTAGAATCTTGGTGGTTGTCAGTGGTGCCTGACCACTTTACTTTCTGCAAAATTCTAGTTTGTAATAAGCAAGGCAACTTTGCCTATGGATATTTATTAATTAATTCATTTATATTTGATATGTTGAGATGATTGCCTCTAGGATTGCCTGCTTTTTCTTAGTTTTTTTGGCATTTGTGTGCCGCTTGGATACGTGAGACTCGTAAGGGTGTGAAAATTTTTATACTCATAATCTTAAAATTTAAAATTTAGAGAGTCTAAATAACATAGAAAGATAACAAATTTAGGGAATTAGCCGAGGATCGACCCCGAGGTCGCATGCATATTTCTGCACTACTTTTTCCTTGCTTTAGATCCTTCCCCTCCTGCAGGTAGAGTCTGGATAGTCTGATCTATGTGGACGAGGTGCCGGACCTGGGGAAGTCTAGTCTTCTAAAAAATGATTTTCTAAATCTATTTTTTAACTTTCAAGCAAACTTGATTTGAAGTCGTTGACTAGCATACATTGTATTAGAAACAAATTAAAAGAGTCAAAATTCTAGTTGCATTAGTCCTTAGCATTTTTTACACCAAACATAAGTCAAAGGGGCAATTAGGGAATCTCTAGATGTCGGCCCCAACTCTCCAAAATCATTAAATAAAACATCTCTACCACTCTTTCATAAAAGACTAGACTCATGTATTTTAAATCGATTAGGTGGTTAGCTGGCACCCCAATCCAGGCCGGGATAAGTCTAGACCTTGCACTGCATTAGTTATGTTCGGACGACTGTAGTCCAGTGTCCAAATTAGATTTAGGATCCGAGGCAGATCCTTGATTATAAGACCCCAAACTTCGGGAATCTAATCCCAAATTTTTAATAAAATGCTCAACTTTAATTAAATCTTCTTTCAACCTAAAATGTAAAGCCCAACACTTAGATTAAGTTGGGACACTTCCGGATGGTTCCGCAATCTCAAAGTGTCCCCTACTCTCCTCCATTTGATTATGCTAATAACTACTCAATTTTAACCCATTCCCTTTTGAGCTTCCAAAATTCGCCTCTTTTTGATATCACTCCTAGAAAATCTAACAAAATTTTGCCACTATTTTAATCGAGAGTTTTTGTAAGGGACTTTGTCTCCCTATGATGTAATTAACTATGAGGGCTTGCTCTCGTAGGAGATTTAGAACCACACACGTACTTGATTTTAAAAATGATTTTTCAAAATTCATATTGGATTCTTTTTGGAAGGATCAAAAGATGATCGTTATTATCACATCCAAAGAATTATCATTGAATGACGTTATCTCCCTTTGGGGAGATACATCTTTCTTTGATAAGGCTTTGGATGTGAACTTAACGATCGTACTTCTTGAATATTGTAGCTAGATATTCAGTTGAACCTCATTTTCGCCCTTCGGGGCCATACGAAGTTTTCTTTAGCATCCAGTCACAATATCCAAGATGAATTTCATAATTCTAAATCTGAACACCTTTATGAAATTCTATTTTCACATTTGGAGGTGATATACTCTTTCTAATGGTATGATTCGATTTTAGAATTAGAATTTAACTTCAACTCCCAAAGAAAACCAAGCTTTGAAAAATCAGCTTTCAAAATTCCACCAACAGGCACACGACAAACAATATAATCAAGAAACTTATCCTCAATGGAGTTCAGATTTCTTGGTTTTAAATCCACTCACTCAGGAATCGATCTCCAATTTGAGTATTCAACTTTGTCTAAAAATTAATTTTTCTATCAAAGTTTAAATTTACCTTTCTGATAATCGATTTATCAGTCATGTTTTAGATCCACTCATTCAGGATTCGATCTCCCATCTGAGTATTTATCTTTGTCTAGAAATTGCTCATTTAGTTAAAGTTTAAATTCACCTTTTAAATAATCTATCTATTGACTAGGTTCTAAATCCACTTATTTGGGAATTGATCTATCGTATGAGTATTCAACTTTGTCTGAAAATTGATCTTTTAGTCAAAGTTTGAATTTCACCTTTTCAATATTCAATCTATTAGTCAGGTTCTAAATTCTCTTATTCAGGAATCGATCTCCCATCTGTGTATTCAGCTTTGTCTGGAAATCGATCTTCTAATAAATGTTATAAAATTCACCTTTCCGATAGTCGATCTATCGATTAGGTTTTAAATCCACTCATTCGGTAATCGATCTCCCATTTGAGTATTCCAGTTTTTCTTGAAATTAATCTTCTAACCAAAGTTTAAATTTCTCCTTTTTCAATAATCAATCTATCTATGCGGTTCAAAATCTACTCATTTAGGAATTGATATCTCATTTGAGTATTCAGCTTTGTATAGAAATCAATCTTGTAGTTAATGTTTTTAATTTCACCATTCTGATAATTTATCTATTGGTCAGGTTCTAAATCTGCTCATTCGAGAATTGATCTCCCATTTGAGTATTCATCTTAATATAGAAATTGATCTTCCAGTCAAAATTTGAATTTCACCTTTCTTATAATCGATCTAGTGGTCCGGTTCTAAATCTACTCATTTGAGAATCAATCTCACATCTTAGTATTAATCATTTTCTAAAAATTGATCTTACAGTCGAAGTTTCAAATTCACCTTTTTAAAAATCAATTTATCAGTGAAGTTTTAAATACACTCATTATGGAATTGATCTCCCATTTAAGTATACAACTTTGTCTGGAAATCAATCTTCCTGTCAATGTTCTGAATTTCACCTTTTTTATAATTGATTTATTGGTTAGGTTCTAATTTTGCTCATTTGGGAATCGATCTCTCGTCCGAGTATTCATCTTTGTCTGGAAATAAAAATCCATTCAAAGTTTGAGTTTCACCTTTTCAATAATCAATTTTTCGGTCAAGTTTTAAATCTGCCTATTAAGGAATCGATATCCCCTCTGAATACCCATCTTTTTTTGGAAATTGAACTCCCATTTAAGGTTTATATTTCCCTCTCTAAGAATCAATCTCTCAGTTAGGTCTAGCATATACGTGATGTAAATCAACCTTTCAATCGAGTTTCTAACTTTCAAATTATGTTGATTGCTTCAATTAATCACAACACATGTGATTTACTCTTCGAGTTCGTCACACCTATTGGGAGTCAATTTATTGACCTCGTTTTTTATGAGATCATTTGGCAATACTCTAAACTCTTAATTAAATATCTAATGGTTGATTATTAGCCATATGTCAATAATCATCAATTAATGGGTTGTATATATATTCAATTAAAGCTTCGATAAAAAATCTATATATACTCAATCAATCAAGCTTCCATTAAATTTAAAAGGCCTTCAATCAATTCAATATTCAATCAAGTTTCATAATTCTTAATCAATCATAAATCAATGGTTTCATATATTCAATTAAACTCCAGCCATCAATCAATCACTAAATCTGTCATTTAACCTACAATCCTATATGTCAAGCTATCAATCATTCAATCTCCAGTCAACCAAACATTAGTCAAGCCTCCACTACCAACATCCACTCAACATTTAATAAAATTTCTAATCAACCAGCTTGCATAAATAAATCGTACATCTGATTTACAATCACTCTAATCAATCAACATTTAATAATCAAACTTATAAGTACCAGAGTAATTGCAGCCTTGTACTATAGTTAGGCACTTTAATCCACTACCTAGTTCAGTGCACTGACTTCCTGACCCCAATTAGGGTCCAAACCATTTTCACTAAGGGCATCATACTGTTGCAAATCTATTTTCATGACTTATGTTTTGATGATTGACAAACACTATTGATTCTATTGGACTGCCTGTTACTGCTAACTTTTCAGGAATCGAAGATCGGACGAACAAACGAAGCCAGTTCAAGATTGCATAGGTTTAGGGTTGAGTCAGTATGTACTTTATTTTTTTCTCTTCTTGAGTCTATTTGTATTGTTCAAAGAGATTGATGCTAAGTAACTCTACACACACACACACACTTGAGAGACTTATAATTTTTATTTTTACTCATATCGGCCATGATGATATTTACATCGTCCAGGATGATCGGGCTTAAAACAAAAATCTAAATAAGGATTCTTAATTAAGGCAGTCGTCATTAACAGATCGTCCTGGACGATACGTGTATCAGCCAGTACGATAAGCTCAAAACAGAAAGAAGTTGCCGCCATAGACAATTAAGGTATTCTGTATTTTTTAATTAAAGGCCGGGACGATCATTGATCGGCCTGGACGATATTCACAAATTATGCCTTAATTGATCAAGAAATCAAAAGAGTAATTAAGGATGATTGATATGATCATATCGTCCTGGACGATCGCAGGATCGGCCATGATGATCTATTCAAAAACCTTAGTTACATCTGGATGATAAATATCAGCCAGCTCAAATTCAGGGCGATGCTCTAGACGATTTTCCTCTGATTTGAACTGATCGGCCGGGACGATCGTGAGATCGGCCTAGACGATCAAGCCAATTTTTAAATCGTCCAGTTTGCATTCAGGGCAATGCTCTGGCCGATCTTCTGATATTTGTACTGATCGGCCAAGACGATGTCCATATCATCCTAGACGATATTGTTGGCAACTTGCAATTAATGAGCTCCTTTGGAGCTCTTCTATTTAAGAGCTCTTGTTCAATGTTTTGAACAATCTTTTGCTGCTGCCTTGACCTGAGAAGGCCTTGAGGAGAGAAAGAGAGAGAGGGAGAGAGAGAGGATCTTGTGAGGTGGAGCTTGTGAGGCGATTCACAAGGGTTGCTTCAAGGATCGCTCTGCTTCTTCTTCGTCTAGAGTTTCTCATCCGTGGAAGGGTCGGTAGAGGTAAGGAGT